GGCTCGTGCAGCTGCCGATAGTTGATTCTTCGCGTTTGGAGCACCCGGATCGGCTGCTACGGATTTAGCAGTACCCAGAAGCTTGCTGGATGTCATGCTGACGTTCTTCAAAGAAACCACCATCTGACTTCGAGTCTCGATAGCTGTTTGACCAGCCATTTCCATGCCGACGCCCAACAGGTCTCCAAAAGCGTTGGTGAATTGTTTGGAAGAATTAGCTAACTGCACCGGAGAACGTACTGATGACACCACGTTTGAAGAAGCATCGTTCAAATTCGCAGCTGCGTTGTTTAGATCGCTTTGCAATTGTCTGTAAAGAAATGATTGGTTGCCTGCATGATAATGAAATAAAAATTTGGAGCAAAACCTTAGTTATTATAAACAATATTATACGATTATTACTTAAATTAACAAAGAAACTTTAATACATGTATAAGCAATGCGTAAGTACAATGAAACGTAATATTTTACGTTGTTCACATATAATATTTTATTTTATATCAAGCGTAAAATTTAAAGTTACATACATCTTTAGTATGCTAAATGCTTAATGCTATGACAATTTATCGTCGGTCGTTATCTCGAAAGATTCAAAGTGTGTCAATGAATAATAAGCAGTAAGTAAAATGAGGCAAATGAAAAGGTAAATATCAGTGTGCCATTTGATAACAAGCCTCTTATCAGAGAAAAGAGATATACATACCCATAACTCTTATTGGTTTGTGGGAACTCGTTCATGCTAAGGACCTGAGTCATGTCTTCGATATTTTTAATTGCATCGTCTACGTCTCTTTGTCCAGGTAAACAAGACACACATTTATTCAGTGCGTTCGACACATCCTTGGCAACTGCAGCCAGATTAGCTTCGTTCTCTACACTGTCAGCGTTCTTCAGAGCTCTTCGAGCTTCTTTAACCAGTCTCAACGACTTTAGAATAACATCATCGGCAGTCATCAAGATTTTCTTTTGCGTATCAGGTTGATGCGAAGTAGCAGCCACTCCGCGAACAGCATAAGTTAAATCTTTGAGGGCGGAAGCTGTTTTTCGAGCTGCGCTTCCAGTGTAATTCTCGTTTCCTTGCTTAGCAGCGGATAGAAGCTGAGCCATAGCGAATCCGACGTTCTTCGAGGTAGCACCTAGTCGGAGAGCAGTGGACTCTGGTGTCTCGTCGGGTAAAGGTCTTAGAGAAGCAGCTTCCACGGCATTGTAGAACTCTCTTAACTCGTCTTTCAAACTGTTTATCAATTCTTCTGCTGCATCTAATTCCAGACCGCCGCATGCCTCCCTGGCTCGCGTTTTAACTTCAGTGGCAGCAGCATTTAGCTCCTTCAGAAGAGTCTCGTCGCTGCAGGTTTCATTGCAGACTTCCAAGAGACCTTCGACTGCCTTTGTCACTTCACGAACTGCGTTCATCAGCTGCGTCTGACAAGCTGGAGAGTGCAAAGTTGGAGCTACGACCTTTGCACAGGCAACTAATTGCGATGTGGCCAATGCACACTGGGTGGCGGCTGAGATTACACGATTTTGAGTCGCTGAATCCTCACAAGTGGCTGCGATATTCTTTGCTTTGAGCACCAGAGCGGCGGTTGAATTGGCTACGGCCTTAGCCAATGCCAATAGCATGTCCTGGAGCTCTCGATTCGAGTCATTTTCCTCTCCAATCGTTGTCAACACCTGGTGAGATGCCTCGCCAACACGGGATGCGGCGTTCAGCAAGTTCTGTCTCGGCTGGAGTAAGTTAAAGTTTAATAAATAAAGATATTAAGCGATATATCGGTGAAAAGGTCAAAGTAAATCGCAGGCAAAATAGTCACGAATAAATTATTTTCTATTCTTTGGTGAAACGGCTTTAGCATCTATCTTGTTACCAAGTTATTCGTTCACTCAACATAAGAGAAAAGAAACATTTTGTTCATTTTCATCCTAAATGAAAGAAAAACTAATTTGCATTGCTTGCAATGAAAAAATTCATCAAATTATATCAAATATCCCGAAAAAGCTGCAAGTTAACACTGTGCGTAAAGTTATAAATAAACCACGTATATAAGGATATTTAACGAATCTAAAAAAAAGTGAGAACCGTAATAATTTGCAACATTCTATAACTTTCTCTGATATTTGTGCTTACGTATCGTTCGGAGGAAGAAAGCGCTACGTAGGAAGGCTGCACAAAAAGGTACAGTTTAAGATAAAAAATCTTCAAAATTAATGAATCGGACGTATTATTAGCGTATAATAGTTTCCACCGCTGTTAAATACTTTTAAATCTACTGTAAAATCTCCGTGAATCTAATCCAAATTGTTGTGATCACGTACGAGTCAATGATACTACGTACTCGTAGTTAAGAGTTAATACATTTTTCCTAATATCGAAGAAACCCATACGAATATCCCAGCATTTTCCACAAGAATACCAAGATACCATACCTCTTTAGTTTCAGGTTCGGTGGCTTTGAGCAAGTCGGAGAAGGCGGAGCACAGCTTCCTTGCTGCATCCAGCAGTTTGTCTCCCGAAGAGTCGTCATCCATCAGGGCGGCGATCATTCTGACGCCTTTCGTCATCTCCGGCAGATTGGTTGCGATCGTTGTGATAGCTGCACCTACCGCTGTGTGATCCACGTCGTCGGCTGGACCGGAAGTCAAGGTGACCACCTGAGCTGTCGCGGCGTT